TGGTCTGGGTTTGAGAAAATCATCTAATTCCATGAGACAACCTGCACATTACATGAGACAAGGGAGGGAATATGAGAAAAGGCTCTAGAATATTCATACTACAGTAATTACTGAAATTCATCATTTCAAACTGATAAAAATTATATCACAATAACCATTTCATTGCACCCAAACCAAGAAAAATTCAAGATCCAAAAACAAATTATTCACAGGGAAATTAAATCAAGTTGAAGTCGGCATCATCTAAAATTAATTGAAAAGGAAATTAAAAAGAAAAAAACCTGTTTGGTGAGAAGTTCTCTCTCATGGTTGCCGGTAGCAAAGAAAGAAGAGTCGAGACCAAAACGTCGGCAAACGGAGGTCCAATAGGGAAACAACAGGTCGGTTTCAGAGTCCAGAACCATAACCACAACTTGGAGTTGTTGGTACAAGCAAAGAAGCGAGATGCCGATTTCGAATTTGAAAGGAACGCTGATTAGATTTAACAGAAGATGAAAAGCATCAGTAATTACCTAGCAACTTTCCCCGCAGCCGCATACAGCAAATCCCAAGTTCTTGGCGGCGAGGGGAGTCGCGATTGACACTTAGGGCTACCACGGATAGACCACTACATGTATCCACAACCACTCCCCACCGCACACAGCATCGATTGAGGCGAACCAGACAAACGCAAACCCTGCAAATCAAGAAAAGAAGCAAGGTAAGCATCCAAAATCAGAACTCACTCAAGAAGTGAAAAAATCTCGTACATTGAACAAACCTCGGATCTCCACGGAGAGCAAGAACTTTCTGGATGCCATTGGACTTGACAGTCCCAAGCGGGTGGTCGATCTTCATTTTCTTATCATTACTAACTTCTTTAGATCGTTAATTTATGTGATGAAACCCAGATCTGGGTTTGTAGAGGTAAGGGAAAAGGAAAAGTAAAGGAGAGAGGAAGTGAAAGAAGAAGAAGGGATGACGTGGATGAAAAAAAAAATATCATTATTTTTAAATTAAATAAAATGTCAATTCATAAAAAAAGTGTCATATCATTAGTTAAGAAGAAAAAAAAAAAGATTTGCTGACAAGTTAACGTGATACATGTCATTTAATTTACGGGAAAATTATTTTGGTATAAAAATAAAAATTTAAGGATAATTTTGATATTTTTTAAAATTAAAAAATAATTTTGATGTTAAAGTAAAAGGTTGAGGGACTAAAATGATACTTAAACCGTTGAAAAAGTCTTTAGGGCGCCTGTTTGACATGTCCTTTCCTTGGAAAAATGAGAATTCAAGGAAATTGCACAACATAGAGTTATAAACACGTAATTTTATCAATTACATAATTGATTATAAAAAAATCAACTATATTATCATTTTCTTATAAAAGTTTCGTTTTAAGTCTTTTTGTAAGGGAAGTGACATAAGTGATTATAAAAAATTAATTAATTATATTAGATATAATTATTTTTTTAAATGATTATT